TTTTTTGTTGTGTAAACACCCCTTCAGTCTTTTTGAGTGATTCACTACAAGGACCAGCTTAAGAGTCATTTGTTCTTGAATCAGACTACACTGGTAGCGCTATTCATTCATTTATTATTTGAACAAGCTACCACTTTCTACTACTATGTTTTCAGTTTCAACAGCCCTAAACATCACATTTTGGTTGCTCACTTTACCTTTCTTGTCAAAATAGGCGATACTTGGCTGCAAACAACCTCTGAGATACAACCACACTTCTGCAGAGCTGTTCACATATCCATTGTACTTGCCAAACATCAACTAATGCACCTGGACTTACCAACAGGAGCCAAAACTCCCCCTTCCTACTTCCATTCTTCATAACTACCTCAAAACCGGTCAAGGAAGTGACTGCAACACCGTTCAGATCCTCAACTGGGTGCACAGCTGTACACCATCCCCTTGTGAAAGGAGAAGTAAATAAAGAACTCTTGTTCATAGAAAACACAAGGTCTGAGAGGTTTCAGTAATAAACATCTGCAACGTCTGGTCTGAAGAATTTGCAAGCACAATGTGGAACTAACCAATTGTACCAACCAAAAACAAAATCTCCTCAGACTTCAGTCTTCTCACCATCTTTTCATGTCCTTTCTTTATCTTTCGCTCTGGACCTCTGTAGATGTGGGGGTCAGATCAGAGTGCAAGAGAGGGGGCATCAGATAACAGGTCACTGACTGATTTAACGCACTGTTAACACTACTTCACTTTCTCTCATGGTAGTCTTTCATGTGCCAGCTGTGTGCGTGCTTGCTTTAGATAGTGGAAAGGGGCTAAATGATATGGCACGCTGATATAGACTGACAGCCTGTAAATCATGGGCTCTTCCTCTTGACAGCAGAGAGAACATGGCGGGCAGATGGGGATGTAAGAACTCAAATGCAATTCAGATACCCTGCTTAACCAGACAAAGAAGGAACTTTACACTATTTGCAAAACAAGGTTTGTACAGGCTGCATCTTTCAAGACCCAATTAGAATGAAAAACACCTAAAACATAAAATAAACATAAAATAATGTCTAAATGAAAAGTGGACTATGTTCCAAATCTAATTTAAAATGTAAGTTATTTGCTGTAGCTCTAAAATCATATATGCTGTAAAGATGTTTGGTCACAGAGACATTTGACAGACATCCAACCTACACTATATGCGAGTTACAGTTTTTGTTTTTTTGTTGGTCTTTTTTTGATAGATTACTTGATTGAAAGTAAGCCATACGCGTTTGGAATGACACCAGGGTGAATAAACAATGACAGAATTTTACTTTTTGGGTGAACTATTTCAAGTCCAAGACATTCCATAATAATGCCAATAAATATCAATTACCTTGACAAAAAGTGGACCATATGCATAACAGACAATGTCCTCTGTGCTTCACTGTAAACTCTGTCTTTAACCTGAATCAAAATTTTCTGTGACCTGAATTCAGTTGAAAGCCATGGTAGACCATAAAACCATCTTGATTATGCAGAATATTTTATAATTGCTAAATAAATAATTATAAATGTAATTTACTCAATCTCATGTTATTTTAACTTTTAATGCTTCTGTGGAAAACAAACTGAGACAAGAGGACCTGTGCTGGTCGCTCTTTTTCATGCAATTAAAATGAATCGGATTTCTCAAGCATTAAAAACAACACAAAGCATCATAAAAGTGGTCCATATGACTCATACACTATATCCCAAGTCCTCTGAAGTCATGTGATAACTTTGTGTGAGAAACAGAAACAAAATTTGGTGCTTGTACAGTTAATGAGAGAAGTAGGAATTTCAAGAGAATCTGAACTTTTTAATGAATCAGTTGTTCCAGTTCACAAAATCCAGTCTGAAGGATTCATTCAAGCTATCATGTGATTTGAGAAAACAAAAATATTTCTTTAGCAATTATAAAATATTCTGCATAATCAAGATGGTTTTATGGTCTACCATGGCTTTCAACTGAATTCAGGTCACAGAAAATTTTGATTCAGGTTAAAGACAGAGTTTACAGTGAAGCACAGAGGACATTGTCTGTTATGCATATGGACCACTTTTTGCCAAGGTAATTAATATTTATTGGCATTATTATAGAATGTCTTGGACTTAAAATAGCTCATCCAAAAAGTAAAATTCTGTCATTGTTTATTCACCCTGGTGTCGTTCCAAACGCATATGGCTTACTTTCTATCAAGTAATCAATCAAAAAAAGACCAACAAAAAAAACAAAACAAATATGAAAGTAGTCCATATAATCTGTGCACTATTTTTCAAGTCTTCTGAAGCCATTAAATAATTGATTGAAATTTAGTCATTAGTCACTGAAAATCTTAACTGTAACTCACATATAGTGCAGGTTGGATGTCAGTCAAATGTCTCTGTGACCAAACATCTTTACAGCATATTTGATTTTAGAGCTACAGCAAATAACTTAAATTGTAAATTAGATTTGGAACATAGTCCACTTTTCATTTAGACATTATTTTATGTTTATTTTATGTTTTAGGTGTTTTTCATTCTAAATTGGGACTTGAAAGATGCAGCCTGTACAAACCTTACTTTCTATTAAGTAATCTATCAAAAAAAGACCAACGAAGTATACAAGTCGTATGGATCACTTTAATGATCATTTTAGCTTATTCTTGCACCTTTTTTGAAACATGAAATATAATTTCACATTCGTTGTATTTGTATGGAAAAGAGCGACCAGGACATTCTTCGAAATTTCTCCTGTGTTTTATGGAAGAAAGAAAATCAAACGGGTTTGGAACAAGGGTAAATGACGACAGAATTTCCATTACTGTGTAAACACTTTGATATAAAGTGTTTTCGGAGCATTTATACCCCTGCTGAAAGCTTTGTGGTGACTGCAGTACTGCTGGCCTGAAATTTTGCTGACCTGAGACTGAGTGGAGGACAGGCCTCCAGCTGTTTACAGGATGGAGATGAGTCGAAGACAGATGAACCATACCACGTGGAGATGAAAAGAGAGGAGATGGAGGAAGAGGAGGAGGGACCAGAGTGAAGAAATCCTTGGAAGGGACAAAAAGCCTGATGCAGAGAGAGATGTGGAAGAGGTCCAGGGAAATCATCTGAGCGCTGTTTTAGGGCTAATGACATTTTCTTTCGCTCTTTCCTCTTCCTATTTCCATTCATGCGAATGCACAGATAGATGTTGTCTAATGCATATTAGCCAGTTAGAGATTTCTGGAAACATGTATTTTGTGTACGTGCAAACTTTGGCACTATGGGACTAAATACACCCTCATATCTACAAGCATCTGGGAGATTTGCCAGGAATATAAAAAAAATAAATGCAAACATTTACTCATTGCTACTGTACAGATGAAAACTATCACCATAATGGAGTATGTTATGGGTGCATGAGTGTGTGTAAAAAGCTGGAACTGGAAAACAGGCTAGTAAAAACAAGTGCTGATAAAACAGCAAAAGCCGCCTTAATGGCAAAATACAACCTAGATTTTCAGTTTCTGAGGAAAAAGTGAGCAGTTTTTGAAGTGTATGTTCCACAACAGGGCTGACAAAATGACTGAAAAACTAAATTCGAATTTTGTGCTTAAATATTATCAATATTCAAATTATATTCGAATTTAAAAGGCATCATTTCAAGAGGGTGCATCGAGCAAAATACTACTAATGCACGTTTATTCAAAGCAATAAAATAACATGGCCATCTTTGAAAAAATTATGCATAATGTTTAAAATAATGTTTATAAACTAAATATAATTAAGTTGCTTAAACAATTAGAAACAAAACAGCATCATGTATGTATGTATCGTTTAATACAAAGGACTGAAAACATTAATTTTAAAACATTAGATGAAGTGGGATGGAGAAAAACTGCCATAAAGTCTCGAGACATGTTTTTTAAAAGTTGAACTTAAATTAATTTTACATGGCTTTTTAAACATGTGACACACGAGTGCAATGGGATAGATGCCCCTATAGAAAATGCGATACATATGAGTTCTGTGTGAACGGCTTGGTTTCGGTTTTGCCGTAGATCTTCTCTGCGTTGATGTTCTCTTTTTCTGCAATATTTTGAATGAGCAGCACCACATCTAGTGGGTTCAATTGGATAGGCTAATAAAAGCATTAAAATGCAATGACACCTACATCGTCATCGTATCTCGTGTGCCACTGATAAGGCTGCCTGACGCACACCTAAAATGTGGATTTTTATTTTGAATTCGACAAATATTTCAAATTCGAATTTTTATTTGACAGCCCTATTCCACTACAACGCTGAATGTTGTTATATGGTTGCTAAGTTCAGGTTATTATATTTAACTAATACCATAAAAAAATGTTCCGTGAAATAAGAAATGTTTACTGAAATGAAATATATTTTTTTAGGCTACGTTTACACGACAATGATGTAGTCAAAAACGGAAACGTTTTTACCTAACACATACTATGTACGCGCATGACGTCGCCGTTTTCAAAGATTCCCGTATTGGGTGTTTACACGGAAACGATAACGTGCCATTTTCAAAAACTTGCACTTTGAAACCCGTTTTCAAAAATATGCGTTTTCAGTCCCCAAAACGCCATTGTTGTGTAAACGAACAGTCAAAACGCATAAAAAGTTTCCCGTTTTTGGCTGAAAACGTTGTCATGTAAACGGCCCCTTAAAAAAAGGAAAGAAAATCCTTCAATTTATTTTATTTCAGCCAGTTGCCAGAGCAATATTTCAATATTTATTTTTATCTAGTTTACTGTAACGATCCAAAATGTTGACATTCAGAATGAGTTTGTGTGTGTGAAATGAGCTGAATTTCCACACAGGCCTCTATTGCTTTTCAGCCCTGTTTAATCTAGAGTCCGTCTTTGATGTGAGCTGAGAAACAGGAAGTGCACTCTGTCCCAAACATCACTTTCTCAGAACAAATAAAAAACGAGAGAGGACACACAAAGACACTGTCACACAAACACAGACCATTAAATGTAAAAGGGTACCTACATTTACCTGGCCATCTTGCCCAACATGTACTTGGTGGATCTGTAGGTTGCCCTGCAAGACAGGAAAGACAGACATATTCAAATTTCAGCAGCTGCCAGTTTCCATGGATGAGGTACAGATTGCTGTCCCACATTTTTGCAAAAGCATTAGGACTTTCATGCAGAAATGGATTTTTGTGTTTAAAAATGCAAGACATGAGCAGTGGAATGGGGAAAAAAAAGTCTCTAGACAATTTTTTAACAGTTTGAACTTGAGCATGTTTTTATAACACTGTGTCAAGCACAATGTTAAAAATGCATATTTAAAAAGAAAAACAATACAAATCAAAGCAGTGGAATGCAAAAATGTGTTCTGTGTGTGAACAGCGCCTTAGATGTACATCTACCGGGTTTTTGTTACAATAACTATTAAATACAGATTATCTACCTTAAAATTAACTAGCATTAAAGTAGCATTCAATGTTTGTAACCTCATTCTTAAAATGATAATTTTGGCCTCTCCCACCATCTCAATAATTCATAAGACCATGTCATATTTTTGAGACAATCTGTGGAATTTATATTAAATTCATATGTAATTAAACAATTTGTAATTATAAACTAATTTTAAGTACTAAAATTTTAATATTTAGCTCTGTCCAACAAGAACACAACCTTGTTACCACAGGATTTTCCCACAAAAATGTAAGTACTTTAAGTATTTTTTATGACACAAAAAGTAACAGCATTTGAATCCTTCCCACAGTAGGAAGTCCCACAGTTTTTGCAGTGTTTTGCAACCGCAAAGTGCAAATATATTCAACCCTGTTACCCTAGACACTGTATGAAAAACAAAACAAAAAAAAACATCTCTTCCAAAGTTTATCAATAATGATAAACCAACAATTACCCTGAAACTACACAAGTCTCTACTGAGTGAGGAAAAATGCTTTCTAAATTTACAACTCTGTTACTTGAAATCTTGTTACTCACTGCAGCATAGTTTCTTTAACTTTACATTTTTTATATATTTTTTTTCCATGTGCTTTCAATTATTACTTCTTATTTAATTTTATTTCATCTTTACTGCTAGAAAACAAGGACCCAAAAAGTTGAGTAACAGGGCTGAAATATTGCAATCCTCGTAGAACATGAATAGAAAGTGAAATATTTAGTTTGACCACCTGAGGTTGATGATCAGCATCTGAAGTTTTTCACTGACCATTTGTTGAGAAAGAAACATGTACTCTCTAATTTAAAAGAGAATTTCATACCCTGTTTTGTATCTTACTGATGGAAAGTGTCAGTTACACAACACATAGTTTTTCATCAAGGATAAGACTTCTGCACCACAACAAACTTTCAATCATGTTCTCCATCTGAATATAAAACACACATACACACACACCTGACAAATATCTGGATAAAGGGAAATGATCTTAAGACGGCTCATTTCCTTTACAAACTCTCTCAAATAAATGGTTTTGATGAGGCGGGCCAAATATATTACAAAGACAGTCTTTGTGGAGTGGAGGTTGGATGAAGTGGCACGCTGTTGCTAAGCTCTGGACTTAAAAACAAACAATATTCCTGAGAATTTACCCCAAAAAAATGAGCACCAAAAGTCTATGGCCATCATCAATTTTTTTTATAAACCAGCACAGGAAGAGCTTTTGAACATTTATTCTCTTCTCCTCCCTCGTCTCTCTTCCTCTCAGGATGACGAATGGATCTGATCAAAATAATGTTTACATATTTGCGGATACCTTTACATAATCCTGTTCAAATCTAGGACACGGAGTACTTGAGAGCCTTAGAAACGAGTGCTTGAGAGAAATATCTCTGCCAAAGATCAGAGTAAAACTGGTAGGTCAGGAATAATTATGGACAGGTGGTGAGGTCCTTGAGACCTTCATATGGGAAACACAAATGAGGGGTGGAGAGCCTCAGAGGAAGAAGAACAATGAGAGAATGAAGAAAAACAAGAAAGCTAAAGGAAACGATGCTCACCTCGCTGTCCTGCGTGATCTGCACCTGTTCGCCCTGTGGCACCTGAGCAATGTGGAGGTGTCCCTGTGGTATCTGTGAACCAAAAAGACACCCAAATGAATGTCATTTCCAATCAAGCTATTTGACAAACACAAAAAGTTATAAATAGCCAAAATATAGACAATATATACATTAGCAGTCAAAAGTTTGGAATATTTTTGAATATTTTTTTATGTTTTTTGAAAGTTCTGTTCACCAAAGATGCATTTATTTGCTCAAAAATACGTTAAAAACCGTAATATTGTAAAATATTATTACAATTTAAAATAATGGTCTTCTATTTGAAAATATTTCATTTTTTTATATTTCATAATTCTTTAACGAATAGAAAGTTCAGAAGAACAACCTGTTTTTTTTTAAATAGAAATCTTTTGAAACATTATAAATGTCTTTGCTGTCACTTTTGATCTATTTAATGTATCTTTGCTGAATAAAATTAATATAAATATTATATATTTAAAATATATATTACTATAAATAAATATAAATTCTGGAAAACTTTTTTTTTATGGTTAATATTTCTTTCAAAATAAAGTTTTAATAATAATTGTATTATTAGAAGTAGTACTATCATTACATTGAGTAATATATTTATGTCACAGTTTCTTCAAGTTAAACCGAACTTTTATTTTGATGGGTTGCTGTGAAGATCTTTAGGTTTGTGTGTGTATATGATATGACGATAGTTTTTCTCAAAAGAAATGGTAAAATGCTCATGAAGTGACTCTCAGAGCAGTTCTAGAGATGCTGTTCATGTGTTCATTTATGTGCAGTAAACAAAACCGCACGTCTGCGCTATTCATTCACACAGGGACACGCAGAACATGCAGGATTTAAATAGGCTTTTTGTGGGTTAATATTCACAGGCACTAGTACATATCGCGATTTGATTGAAATGTACTGACCTACTTTTGATTTATTCATCCAAAATTTGGCAAATTCCGTGACATTCCGCGTTATACAGTAAATTCCGTTTTTATGACTGGATTCCGCGATTCCGTCTGTGTTTCCACATCGCAGAAATCATAGGGCCCTAAAATGTACCAATAATGGCAATGTAATGATGTTTTCTAATGACAATCATAACAAAACGATTGGCGTCTTTCAGTAAAGTATTTACTGTATTTAAATTATTATAACACGCCAAATGTATCATGGTTAACCTTGGATGACTTTTTAGTCTCGTTTTGCTTGATAGTTCAATACTGCGGTATAGAAACAACACATTTTCCCACAAATAATATGATGTGTTCCTAAACATTTGATATTACTGGTTTTGTTAATCAGTTTTTTTCCATCAAACCCTTCCCAAAATTCTCATGAAAAAAGTCTAATTTAGGAAAGTTTATACACAAGCGATCATTCAAAACCTAAAAAGAGCATGTCATTGTTTGCCGTATCTGACAGGCTAAAATTATCGATCATGTGCGAGTGACATGAACTGAACATTCGAGGAGCCAAAGGCCTTGACAAAAGCTGACCATTGAGTTGTTGCCTCCGAGAGTACAACTATTATGGTTCGGTTCAGGGAGATGTTACACAAACAACAGATGACAGATCCGTTTCTGAGTCCACTGATGCCAAGAACTCCTCCGCAGATTTAACTCTCCTGATTGTACATTGTGTATTCAGGGTTTTGATTGTGCTGTCACAATGTATGCAGATGATATTTCGGATGGTGTGTCGGGGTGGAGATGACCTCATGCAGCTGTGAGAGTCAGAGATCATGTTTAGGACCTCATGATCGGGCACAGCGGAAACTCTGCTGTTAAAGCTCCATTAAACGATTGCAGGGGATTGACTTTTCCTCTGAGTACCAGAGTTCAGGGAGAACCAAACCTTCTTACAGAGAGATCAGGAGATGTTTGAGTGTGTTTATGCGTTTGTCTGCGCAGCTGAGACAGATTTGAGATGAATGGGTATGTATGCGTTGTTACGAGATGTGTGGTCTTGCAAATGTCTGAATTAAGTAATGGCGCTTTTCCACTGCATGGTAAGGCTCGGTACGGTTCACTTTTGGGGGGTTTTCCACTGGGTACAGTACCTGGTACTTTTTTCAGTACCACCTCGGTTGAGGTTCCAAGTGAACCGTACCGTTACCAAAACATGACGTGTAAACTCTGCTGATCACTGATTGGCCGGAGAGAAGCGTCACTACCTGCGTCACTGAACTTGCAACACAAACACAACAGAACCGCTAGATTTAAGTCAGCACAGCCAGCGAAGGATCGAACGCAACTGTTTGAACGAGCACACCTTTTTTTAACAACCAAAAAATGGCTGTTTCGTTGTCTGTTGAGGAAGTAGACGTTCCTCTCGTTGATAGCAGAGGAGCGGATCCAGCCAGAGCTTGATGGGGTGACGTGGAATGAAAAAGGTTTTCAGGAGTTGCGTGCGGCAGTAGAGGCGGTGCAACTATAACGACATGTGAATAATCCCGCCCACTCTAAAGCGGTACTAAACTGCAGTGGAAACGCGAGCCGAGTCGTACCACGCAGTGGAAAATCGGCATAAGATATTTACATTTGGTGAAAAAAGTGGTGGTTGGCCATGGTTGCTATGGTACTGCATACTGGCTAAGTCAAAAGAGCCCACCTTGAGCTCCAAGAACCTCTTAAACTGTGTTCACATTGTAAAGGCATTTAAATAATTATTGTATAATAATAAAATCAAATAATTATAAATGTAACGAGCCATGCTTGACAATTTTAATTATAATTAATAAAAATTATAATTTTATTTTTTATTAACAATACATTTTTGCTGAGCTTTAGCTTTGGGTTAACTTAAAAACTTGCAAACAATAATTGCCGGACCCCCTGGGTTTTTCTTTCCAAATAATCCCAAATATATAGTCTCTCTCTCTCTCTCTATCCATCTATCTATCTATCTATCTAGAACAAATAAACGAACGAACAAACAACAGAATGATAGATAGAACGAAAGAACAATAGACAGACAGACAGATAGATAGATAGATAGATAGATAGAAAGACAGAGTTGAGTCATGATTCACTGTGCTGCAATTTAATGTATATTTTATTGTTGTCAAATGATTAATCGCGATTAATCGCATCCAAAATAAAAGTTTTTGTTTACATTATATATATATGTGTGTGTGCTGTGTATATTTATTATGTATATATAAATACAAGCACATGCATGTATATATTTAAGAAAGATATGTTATGTTTATATATGAAATAAATACAATATAAATAATATAAAATATAAGAATATAAATATATAAATGTATATACATGTAAAAATTTACAAAATATATACTGTATGTGTGTGTATTTATATATACATAATAAATATACACAGTACACACACATATATTATATAAACAAAAACTTTTATTTTGGAATGCGATTAATCGCGATTTATCATTTGACAGCACTAGTATATTTATATATATTTGCGTGGGTTGGCCTTTTGGATGATGATATGATGATACTCACGACTTGCACCTGTCCGTCTTCTCCTATACGGTGGATCTGGACTTGCTGTGCGGCTCCAGCCAGAGCGTAGTGCAAAGCCTGCTGGGTAGAGGTCTCGATAGCCGACGTCTCTGCGGCCGACACTCCATCTGCTCGAGGACACACATAAACAAGTTCATAACACAGTCCAACTATGTGGGTCAAACCAGAAACTAGAGAGACCGGGTCAAACCGTGTCAAACAACTGCTTTCAATAACAGAAGATGCTGCATTGTAACTTGCCAAACACACACACACATACACACTTCAGCAGGACAGAGATAAATGAGCGAGACCACAGTCTGTCCTCCATCATGATTTCGGTGCAATCAGACGAACGCCCATTCGCTCACACAGCCGCAGGTCACATACCCTACGATATTTGTACGAATGTGAACATGCGCGAACTCAAACAAATGCAGAAGAGAACATACGATAAACAAGGTTCTCACAGACAGAGAGAAGTGAAAGAGTTCACATACACACACCCTGAACTTGAGGAAAATCCGTTCCGACTGCTGCTGGACGGGATCCAGTGCATCTGCCAGATTAGAGTGTGTTTATACAGTGTAAACGATCTCAAAATACACAACAAGGGCTCTCGACCTAGCAGCCCAAACGCACTCGTGCCCTAAAACTGTACGCAAACCCAACCCCTCAGTCTAAACAACGAGAATTACCGACATGCTACAACAGCCCAGACGCTTAAAACACACACTCACCGCATTTCTGATTAAAGGTCGTCAAGTCGTCTCTCGAAAAAACGGTGCGGGTGTTCATTTACAAAGTTGGAGTGATTTTAAATCATAGCGAAGGGCTTATTAGCAGGCTAACGTTTCTTAGAGGAAAAGGCACCGAATGTGACAATGCCGCACTGTTAGTGCAATGTGATCTGAGACTACGTTGGGTCTTCCCAAGGTTGCGGATGAAAAGTAAACCGGATTCAATTTTATGCATCTGAAAGATCTCCAGACCAATTTGTCCTTCAGCTTGCTAGCTTTCGCTTCTTGGCTGCTATTGGTTTAGCAATGCCCGTATAAAACAAAAACAACTGTATTTTATGATTCTATGATGACAATTACATCACAGCATGATAATGTGTCTGAGGATAGTTGTTTGATGAAAATGCTGCAGCTTACTAAACATACTAAATTTTGTTGGATTTGTGACCTGGCAGTTAGCACACATGCTAACAAACACGGTATGGTAAAGCTAACAAATATTTTGAATAAAATAGCTTTGATAATTCTACAATGACAATCAAAAACACGATGTGATAATGTGTCTGAAGACTGTTGTTGAAAATGCAAATGCTGTGGCTTGTTAAACATACTGAATTCTGGAATTTGTTGCCTGGCAGTTAGCACACATGCTAACAAACAAAGGTATGGTAAAGTTAGCAAATGTTTTTAAATAAAACATTTTTGATAATTCTACAATCATAATCTAAAACACAGAATGATTAAGTATCTGAAGATGGTTGTTTGATGAAAATGCTTCAACTTAAAACATTCTGAATTTGGTTGAATGAAATAAAAGAGCTTTCCTAATTCTACAGTGAAAATCAAAAACATGGTAAAGTGTATGAAGCTAGTCATTTGACAGATGTGTCAGAGTTTAAATCAGTATACAAAATTTTGTCAGATCCAAGATGTAAAGGTTAGCATACATGCTTAGAAGTGTCACATGGTAATATCCGCCAACGAAAATGGTCGTTTGACCAAATCACAGCTTCTAATTTAAATACAGAAATGTTTCTCAAATTCATGTTGTAGTTGTTAGCAACCATGTTTTAAAATATGGTAAAGGAATGTTTGCAACAAAAATGGTCATTTGACCAAAAGACTGCTGCTTATTCGAATATAATATTTTTTGTCAGATACATGGCCTCGTGGTTAGCACATAGGCTGAAAACACAGTAACATATGCAAACAAATATGGCCATTTCACCAAAAAGTGCCAAAATATCATTTAATAAGTAGCCTTTTTTTATATACACACAGAAACCTAAAGATCTTCAGAGCAACCCATCAAAATAAAAGTTCGGTTTAACTTGAAGAAACTGTGACAGAAATATATTACTCAATGTAATGATAGTACTACTTCTAATAATACAATTATTATTAAAACTTTATTTTGAAAGAAATATTAACCAGAAAAAATGTTTTCCAGAATTTATTTACCAGAAAAATGTAAATACCCAAAACAGGATTTGAAAATAAATAAATAAAATAATAGATGAATTTTTTAATCAAATCAATTATAGATGCTTTTGATTCTTCTATATATATATATATATATTACATACACATTTATGTGTTTTTTTCAATAGAGAAGTTGAATAGAGAAGGTTTTCAAAACTTTTTCTAGCACATGTGGTTAGCATGTCATGGTAAAGTGTGAAAACAAACCAAAGTCTCTGCTTATTAAATGTTCAAAATGTCCATAAAAGGATCCACAGTCTAGCGGTTAGCTTAAAGACATTGTATGGTAACACAGGCAAACGAATATTTGACTAAAATGTTGCTACTTATTGTTAAATATACAGAAGTTTTTTGATTTCATGTTCTACAAGTTAGTTCACATTCAGAATCATTATCTAACAGTCAGCAACCATGTTTGCAAACTTGGTAAGGTAATGTGTTGCGAACAAAGGTTGTCTGATAAAAACATGAAATATAAAATATACAGAATTTTAAGTTCTTGATTTAATATAAGCAAACAAAAATGGTTGTTTGACCAAAACGACGGCATTTATTAACTTAAAAACTTATTTTTGCCATTTTCGCCTTTGATATGATAGGACAGATCAGAGCTGGCAGGAGGCGAAGTGGTATTGAATGCTAATATGTGCTAACAAAAACTGTTGTCTGAGCAAAATATTGCTGCTTATTAGATATTCAAAATATCAAATGATCTGTACAAGGGGCCTTAAGTTAATCAGAGGACGCTGGGCTACAGCATTACTTTAGGCCCCACTACCCCACATTAAAGTGTTTTTTTTTTTTAGCTTCCTGATGATTATGTCCAATTTAAAAAAAAATTCTTGTTGGTATGCCAGTTAACATTTACTACACTGTTCTGCATAAAATGTGAATATAAGTGAATATGCAAATTCACTCTTTGCCAGAAGGTGGCGCTTGTGGAACAGCAGAATCATAGCTTATTACTTTAAGTAAACACTACGTTATTACAGGCATTATAGGGAGGTCATATGAAAAGAAAATGCCATCAAAACTTACCTGGCCAAAATGTGAGTTCACAGGTATGATTTAGGACGTGTTCACACTTGTAGTTTGGTTTGTTTTGCTCATTTGGTCCGGACCAAAAAGGAAAACGATACATTTGGTCCTGGTCCGCTTAGCGTTCACACTGGCATTTTTGACAGCGAACCCAAAGATACCAAACCTAAAGGCATAGTGATACATTCATAACCTGATTGGTCGGGTTGAATGACGTTTATATCATGACGGAACTCAGGAAAAGGTGTGTTTGACTTAAAGTGCTTTAAGTTGAATACACCTAATGCCGCCTGCTGGACTAAGCGCGCCCATTTTTGCACGTATATAATTTTATTTTTACCACCTGCGAACTCACAAAAAGCTCATAAAAGGCAGTTTACCTCCTCGTTGCTCTGTTTGCCCTCTGCTCATTTTGTTTTGGACACACCGCTTGTTCCCTTCATCAAATCATGTCGCATAGCGTCGTCATTACTTGCTGTTTTTGGTTCGTTTAGAAGTATTTGGTCCGTGTTGTGTTCCACCAAATACACAAAACAATGTTCTTTTTAGCAACATCATATGACCCCTTTAAATAAAAAATTTACAGCATTGACAAGTGTGGTTCAATTCCTCCACAAATAATTATCATGAGCTGATTCTTTTAGCGAATCAAAACCGTGTGTAATCAGATTCCCAAACAAATGGCTTTTATGAACTTCTTTTTAGTGAATCAAAACCATACATTTTCTTTACCATACAAAAATGTTTTTTCATAAAGTTCAAATCAGTTTAATCTGATTCTCTTGATTGACTCTTGAGTCAGTACTTTAAACCGAATCAAACACATATATATTACAACTTACACACAGTATGTAAGGCACTTAAATTAATGTAGTTACTAACTGGCTGCTCATACAAAAACAAAGAATCATTAACTGAATCGTCCAGGAATCAGAATCATTTTGAGGAATCAGAACTGTGATTTACATACTGTAAATCATAATGATGCTGGTATTGTTCAGACTTACATCGGATGCCATAGATCATGAGCGGGTCCAGCTGTTTCTTGCCGTGCTTCCCCTGTCCGGAGAGGTTGGAGACGGCCTGCACCTCGCGGTGGAACAGGTAGTCCAGCAGCGTCAGGGCCATCTTCTCTGCCGTGCGACAGTTGGTGCTGATGTGCAGCATGTCTGCTGGAGATACCGGACAGCGCACGCGCATCTCAGGGTTGTTCTCATCACCCAGCCACGTTCCTGCCGGATAGTCCTCTACAGAAGAAGGAGAAAAATAAACTGCAATTACAGAAATATTTTTCCAAATGTACAGTTTTTCCAAGTTGACAAGTGCCTTACCACTGTAATTTATAAGAGTTATGTAACTATGAAGCTGTCTGACAGAATGGGAGGATATTTAATATAAATAACATATAAATAACATTTTTTGGTCTGATTGGAACATTTTTTCAGTGTGCGGACAAATTCAGCAACTTATATAAATAACACTACAACTAAATAGTGTTGATATTATTATTATTATATATATTACTATATAATAATATTATTATATATTATTGTATGTTTATATATATATAGAGAGAGAGAAACTTTTGCTAGAAATATGTATTTTCCAGAATAAATTCTATTCTATTCTATTCTATTGCAGTACATTATATTACACAATACTGACAATATTTTTGCTACATTCAAATATTCTGAATTTCTTTTTTATTTTTCCCTTTCTATTATATGAGAAATATTTGGGTTTGTCAATTTTTTTATTAATTTACAAAAAAAAAATCTGGTTAATTTTTGCATTGCAAAATATATTTATATTATACTATATTATATTATATTACAAAATAAATGGAAATAAATACAACATTTAAATATAAAAATATAAATATTAGATGAAAAACTAAACTTTTTTTACGTTGAAGTACTAAAAATGACTAAAGCTGAAATAAATTAAACAAATTAAATAGAAATATTAAATAAAAACTAATAGAAATGACAAAAGCACATAACAAAATCTCTAAAACTTGAACTAAAATTATTTAAAAAAATATTTTAAAAAGCCAGTTAAAAATACTATAGTGAATACTATAATAGTACATAAATAATACTAAAATAACACCGCTAATAATGGATAAAAGAAAAAGATACACATAATTTAATTACTTATTCAAATATTTTCCGGATTATTTCTTAATAATTTACATTTGCTTTTTGCAATACATGCCAATTATTTTACTTTTTTAACTTTTTAAACATATTGTCCTTATAATATCTCTCACTCTTAACATTTTTCTCACACAGTATACATTTCTTTACACTTTATGAAAATATTTAGCTGCCTTTATATTTTAGGAAGGTGCACCTTTGCATAAGAGCAACATATTTGATAATTGGCATCAAAAAGTTTGTAAACCCTGATCTAGAGAGCAAATCACTGTGCAAGATATAAGGAAACATCGAAATATGTGACGGTATATATATTCAGGATTGTGGGAACAAGTGAAGCATCAGCCATTGTCTTCGATATTAGACGACTAGTAATCCCAAATATCTGTGGAGGGGCGAGAGCAAGTCCCTCAATGCCTGCTGAGGTTACAGACCTGAATTCTCAGCTCAGAGCAAATGCAAGAGTGTCCCCTGCTGGACATTATTTGTCACCAAGCAAACACTTCACAAGAGCATTACTGGTTTAGACCAGAGACGCTTTCTTGATTTAGCCAAAAATGCTGGCATGACTGAAAATGATGATTGAAGTTCAACAGTGAGACCATCACATTTCTTCTTCACATAACTAAGACTGGAAATATTGCATATCCAGGAATGTGTTCTCATCACAAGTGAAGACAAATATTGTGACTTTGGCATAATTTGTCTCAGAAATGATTTAAATAGGCATTTCTGTTAAATATTTGTCTGTGTGGTATGTGCCAAGCATTACTTCGGCTATAGCTTGACGGGGTTTATTAGCGTTTATCACGGACGTGGGTTTCTGTGTCTCGTCAAAGCGGGCGTGTAAAAATTATGTTAGGGAGTAAAATGTGTCAGGTCAAAAGGTAAGCTGAGGAATATGTGGACCGCTTACATTTGAGTCTTTTGCGATATAATAATACATTTTCTAGCATATAATTTCTAGCAAAATGAATTCAGTTTTTTCCCATGTCAGTCTTTCAGTAACAGGCAGCTGTACAAGGCCATATATTTGTTTTAACCAGAATATATATATATATATAAATATAGATTATTTGTATGTAGCGAAACAATTTTCGACATTTTGTAAAAAAAAATACAAAATAGAATAAAATACAAAAAATGTAAAAAATTGTCATGCAAAAAGAGTGAATCTCTCAATTACAAGCAACTGTATAAGATGCCACTCTTTAAATAGACGGTCACATGACAAAAATGCAGCGCAGTTTGCTAGATTAAAGGGATGACACATTTTACCCCACTCCTCTACATCAAAACAATAGATGAGTTTAAAGCAAGGGGAAAACAACACAAACAAACAAAAGCATAGCCTTTAAGGAACCAAATGTACCATTCGTTGACTAAATATCATCACGAACAGCTGCGAACGAGTGAATATTTGAGGAACGTCTTTGAACTAACCAAGCTAACCAGACACCACTCCAAAACAACCCAGTCAAATAATAAGAAAAGTAAAAGCAGAAGTTAAGCAATCAAAACAAACCCTTTAATCCCAGACCTCTTCCAGACCAAATAGACCATCCTGACCATACACAACACACATGGGCTGCTGGTGTAACAAGCTTTGTTTAAAGTGTCCAGGGAGTAATAGCGGATAGTCAAAACATGTTTATATTATTAATCAATAATTGTTGAGCACACTTTGATTTCACTAACCAAAGCCTATTGTTCTCTGTTCACACTTCAAAGATTTCAAGGTTTAAATGTTAACCAACCACACAGACAAAACACATGCGAGCCATAAACATGCTATTATCTTATTTGTGCAGATGCATTTCAAAGATTTCCATGTCTTCAAACCTTTTCAATAATTGTTCAAATTTGTTGATCTTCTTGTGAGGCCATGTTTGTGCTAAACTCAAAACAAATGGTTTCCCACCGGCTTATAAAAATGATATCCTTTAAAGTCGCCATAAAATCAAAATTGGAATTTTTTGTGGCTTTTAGTTCTTCTTAGCTTTGGGGAAATGTATATGCTAGTCTACTTCTAAACATTGACAAAATTAGCTTTTAGTAGAGGTTAAATTTACTGTCTTTGTCTTCTGGAAAACAGACTGATAATGTTGATGCTGGCTTATTCTGCAGCCCAATGATTTTCGTCCAATCAGATTCTCTCTGTACTGACAATGTCCCGCCCCTGATGACACCTTCAAGAACGTATGGACAAAGACTATAGAAATACAAAGACAGTTCACTCCTATACTTACGA